AATTCTGGACCTTCATTCAGAAAGGAATACCTCCCCACACCTAACATGGAAGATACACTAAGGCTATGCTTTGCAGAACTGGTGAGAATTAATCTGTCAAACACCAGCTCCTTTCTTTTTTACTCTAAGGGCTACAAGAAGAAAGCGTGAAGAGCTGCCACTCAGTCCTCTTTCTTGTAGTTACAGTGCCTCAGAAACCAAGATAGGGGCACACGTACTCATAAGCGATAAAGCTATTCAAAAAGTGTCTGCTCTGTTACACTTCAACATAACCTGTATGGATACGCACTTCGAAAGAATTTTTTTAATTGCCAATTTCTGATATAAAGTGTGTCATCTTAGACTTTAAATCAAATACTTGTGGGTTTTTTACTTTAACTGCATGGTATTTATTTCAGATTTTAACTATACTTGCTGCATTCTAAACATGGCTGTGTTCTCAGAGCCTAAACATACTAGAAATGGTCACCGTTAACTCCCTGAACCACAACAAGCCTACAGGATATTAAAGCCCAAGGATGTTCCGCCTTTCTACGTAATGAAAAAAGGAAAAAGTTTTGAAATCCTCTTCCAATTTTGAGAAAAATGCAGGCACAGAACCACTGTATTTTAATAACTAAGGTTTTTATGCATCGTATTATTTGTCCATTACAAACAAATAATTACTTATTTTCCTGTGCACTCAGTAATCAGATAAAATGCATGCTAAATAAATACCTGGAGTTAGCCTACATTACTTCTATCATCTCTCTATCAGTCTGAGATATTTTTTTCTACTCTGTAACCTAATAAACTATATATATAATTCTGGTGAAATAGATTACATTGCTATTTAAACCACCAATACATTGCTATTTTAAAACCACCAAGCATCATAGCGAAATCAGCAGGAAAATAACTTAATGAACCTTAATCATCATAATTGTATTGGTTATAAAAGATATTTTTCTCCTGCAGATAGTTTGAAAAAGAAATTTATTCTTTAGCATTAGGTAAATTAAAAAATTCAATTATTTCACTTTTTTATGAAACGGAACTTTATTATGACATAATAACATTTTAACTAATATGTAAATGTATGCCTATCAAGGAGGTACTTTAATTGCATATAGTCTATCATAAGAACTCACTTTCTTTATGCAAGTATACTTTAGCTGATTTAATTATTTAGCCCTCTAATTACACAGTCCATACCAATCAACCAAAATGTAGCACCTCTATAATGTTAATTTCACATGTCAAATCATTGATTATGTTTTTGCATGGTTCTCATGTTAACTAGAAAGCCAGATTTTGAATGAACCACAGTGAGTACATGAGGTTAGGTGCAAAACCCAAGAAAGCTTTCACGTAGGGCAATGGTAGGCCCTACCTATTCCCTTTTCCCCTGATCTTCTGTTTCTCCATTGGTTGAGACAAGAGAAACAGCAGTATTTAGTTGGCTTTAACAGAACGTTTTCCTATTTTTAATTTTGCCCGAACTTTTTGAAATTTTCTTCTCTCTTACTCCACCCACCGTCCCACCCCTGTAGCACAGGTTTACATCTTTTGTTTGGGATAGGTGTGACTAACCGCATGGCTGGGATCAGGAAGGATTTCCATTTTTCCTGTGGGGGCTAGCGTGGCAGGAAGCCTTACTTTTCTGGCTTTTGGTTGTGCTTCCTTAACACATCCTGAGCACTGTCCCATCAGACACGGGCCGTTACGCTGCGCAGCAGGGAAGGCTCATAGGTTCACTTTGGGAAGTTTGCAATGGTTTGTATTTGCAGCTCACGACGGTGAACATTAAGTACTATCGGCGGCTCCGAAAGCCACCCCATGGGGGCAAAGGAGATACAAGGTTTCACCAATGAGTCCTAAGGCTACAGAAGGGTGATATGACATCTTTCTGGCCTGAGGTGTTCCCTGTCCCAACCCCAGGTCAGAAAACCTGAAAGGTAACCAAAGATGGGTTGGCCCCAACTGTTTTTGTTATACCTCTTTAACTCACATTAGAAAAAAATGTAATGCCCATAATAAGAGAATGGGAGAAAACGGAAGGGCCACTTGGCCTTCCTCCCACCCTAGAGTATTTCATGTATTTGCAGTCTGTCACTTAAATGCCATTATTTCATATATGAGGCAGTCCTACTCAGTTGTATGAAAACTGAACAGCAGACATCTTTAAAAAATTTAAAACGTTGCTCCCTGTACTTAGTTTAAATGCAGTATTCAAAAATTTGAGGCAGAAGGGAAAAAACCTGCTTTATTACAGCCACAACAAAGTACCGGTGAGTCAAACAGGACTGGTTTTGCAAAATTTGTCCTAACCAGTTATAAAAAACTGAAATTTATTCAAGAAGTTGGCATTACTTTAATTCACTTTTCATAATAAGTGATTTTATGAAGTGTAAAATCATTTTCTTTCAGAATAAAAACCAAAATAAAGCAGTCCACGATCTCAGACTCAAAGTGTATCGAAATGATATATAGCATTCATAAAATAGTAACCAATAGAATTCTGGTGCTATTGCTGTTGCAAAAAGTACATTAACTTACATTGTTTGCTAATCTTCAGAAATTTTTCATACTATTATTAGACAGGACTGTGAGCCTTTCTTCAAACAAAGCAGAAGAGTGTGAAATCAGAACCACATTTCACTTTAATCCACTAGAGGGTGGCCTGCTTCAGTCAGGGCTGTAGTACTGAATTAATGCAAGATAGCCAACATTTTCTTCCTTTTGACCTGTTGATAACCAACTCTTTGTATTTCGCTATTGTTCATCTTGTATTACAAAGTAATTTCCTTTATATAAAACAGCATGTAAGATTAAAAAACCCACTTTTCCTAACATCTATCTCATTTATTGTTTTGTATATCTAGGAGAAGGGATGATATATTTCAGTGTATACTTCCCTTAAATTGAAAAAAAAATCGTGAATTATTTTTCAATTTTTAAAAACTTCGTAGTTTGTATGCACTTTGTTCACAGATACAGAACAAATAGGAAAAAAAATAATTCTTCACCAAAGAGTATGGCACAAAGGGAGAAGGTAGAAAGAAAAGAAGATGGAAGGAAGGGAAGGAAAAATCTGTGCAGCCTATTGTTTATATAATTAGACAGCCTTAAAAGAGAGAGTCAAGTAGACAGAGATTGAAAGAAACTTACTTTTTTAACCAACCTCTTCCTCAGTTTATTCTGAACTTTTATTTCTCAGAAAGTTGTTTTCCTGCTCTTAAGAAAAAACCCTTCTTCCCCCCCAGCCACAACAAAGTACCGGTGAGTCAAACAGGACTGGTTTTGCAAAATTTGTCCTAACCAGTTATAAAAAACTGAAATTTATTCAAGAAGTTGGCATTACTTTAATTCACTTTTCATAATAAGTGATTTTATGAAGTGTAAAATCATTTTCTTTCAGAATAAAAACCAAAATAAAGCAGTCCACGATCTCAGACTCAAAGTGTATCGAAATGATATATAGCATTCATAAAATAGTAACCAATAGAATTCTGGTGCTATTGCTGTTGCAAAAAGTACATTAACTTACATTGTTTGCTAATCTTCAGAAATTTTTCATACTATTATTAGACAGGACTGTGAGCCTTTCTTCAAACAAAGCAGAAGAGTGTGAAATCAGAACCACATTTCACTTTAGGCCACTAGAGGGTGGCCTGCTTCAGTCAGGGCTGTAGTACTGAATTAATGCAAGATAGCCAACATTTTCTTCCTTTTGACCTGTTGATAACCAACTCTTTGTATTTCGCTATTGTTCATCTTGTATTACAAAGTAATTTCCTTTATATAAAACAGCATGTAAGATTAAAAAACCCACTTTTCCTAACATCTATCTCATTTATTGTTTTGTATATCTAGGAGAAGGGATGATATATTTCAGTGTATACTTCCCTTAAATTGAAAAAAAAATCGTGAATTATTTTTCAATTTTTAAAAACTTCGTAGTTTGTATGCACTTTGTTCACAGATACAGAACAAATAGGAAAAAAAATAATTCTTCACCAAAGAGTATGGCACAAAGGGAGAAGGTAGAAAGAAAAGAAGATGGAAGGAAGGGAAGGAAAAATCTGTGCAGCCTATTGTTTATATAATTAGACAGCCTTAAAAGAGAGAGTCAAGTAGACAGAGATTGAAAGAAACTTACTTTTTTAACCAACCTCTTCCTCAGTTTATTCTGAACTTTTATTTCTCAGAAAGTTGTTTTCCTGCTCTTACTTTCTACTGATAAATGTATGTAGTAAAATTTAATATTTTATAAAATTTGGAAAAGGCGTGGTATGAAAAATCCTTTACTTTCTTAAACTAAAAAAAAAGCAGCAAAACTCAGGGGGATGTATGTGCATTTTTCCTGAATGGTTTCAACATGCAGTATCCTCTGAACAACAGCAGCCTTTGAAGAACTTCAGTGATCTCTAATCAGTTGTTCTGAATTCAGATAACATCTTTATATAGCTTTATTTTTTTTTAAAAAAAAAGGGATTTAAACCTCCCAAGCTGTTCTGTAAAAACACAAAGCATGCCCTGTAACTTCCACAAATAGGAAGAGATCTCTGGAAGCGTGCAAAGGCTTGTTTCGTGTACCCGTACCCGAAGCAGCAGTGTCACGTAACAGACAGCTTCCCACGGCCAACCAGGCTGGCGCAGCCGCGCGTACTACACGGCATCTGGGCACGCCGAAGCATTGGCTCCTCTCTGGGGAGTGGAAGGGCCTCAGTTATTAATGACCACTGAAGAGGCAGCACCATGTCAGTGTGACAACCAAGCAGGTGAACGATGCACCACTAACCATCATGGAAACAAGGAGAAATGAGAAGAGCTAGCGAGCATCTCTCTCCCCCCCCGCCCCCCTCTCCGCTGGATTGCGAGCCTCAGCCAGCCAGGCAGCAACAGCACTCTGGCAAACGTAAGGGATCTCAGCTGGCAGCACAGTCTCTCATGTTGTAGGATATCAATAGATACATCTTCGTATTATATACCGTTAGACACACGCACGCACACCGACTCACCCACACACATACATGTATGCACATCTATTCAGACTCTGGCTTTAATACAAGTATGTGGCTACCTGAACTAAGGAATCAAAATTACCGAGATGCAAGAACTCCTCCAGCTCTGAAACTACTCTTATTATAGGGTAAGTTCCTCTCTATTTTCAATTTTATCCTGACTTTTATCTTAACCTGTAAACTCTTTCCCCTTTCTTCTTTTCGTAAAGCTATTTTATTAGCGTATTTCCACGTTTTACTTTCTGAATGGAAATGCAAATGCAATTTGCTTTTTGTGCCAGAGATAATATAAATATGCTTGCAAGAGTATCAGATATGTGCATTTGTTAGCTTGAAAGAGCATCAAAGGATAAAAAATTATAAAGGGAGAACGTTTCCCCTGATGTTTCAGATGCAAAATCAAATTACACAGTTGCTCTGTGTTTTGAAACCAACAGAACAAGATACAGGACAGCCTCCTTTCTTCTCTCCAGTGCTAGGATTAAGGGAAATGCTGTTTATGTCAGGACCTAAAAACCACTGAGCAGCGAGGCTGAATGAGCATATCACAAACAGTTATTGAATTTCTGCCAGGCTACATCTTAAGGATTGTGGCAAATGACTTTGCTTAAAAACATCCCCTTTCCAGTCAGAAGGGACAGTGTGAATGTCTGATTACTGATGCAGCTGGAACGGATGCGTTAGGTAAAAAGGATCGCATTAAACAGAAGAGTTCTAATCTTCTTTGGTAATTAACAGGATCACAGCAGGGTGCCTCTAAAGTATATTTTCATGTAAGGAGACTGTTCAAATCCATCACTATAAAAGCTTTGCCTGTTTTAGTATAGGAAGGCTCAGAACTGTTTGTCTTTGCTTTCCATGCCTTTGTTTTCACATGTCTACTTGGAGTTTTTGCCCAGCACTGCTGTTCAGAAAGAGAAGAACCCAACACAGGGGGATAAAGGGGGCAGTAAATGCAGGGGGCTAGAAAAAAGACAGTGATTTTCTATTTAACCAATTTAATCTACATAAAATTCCATGCTAGTACTACTGTTGCCTACTGTGTTTGTGTTTATGCATGTGTATGTCATTTCTTTCATGCAGTATAAGAGTACCTCAGTATCCCTTCAGATGAAAACACATTCAGTAAAGTCCATCAGCATGGATCTGTGATTCATGCATCAGTGAAAGCCAGAGAGAGGTTTTACTTTACACCATGAAAAAGACAGGTTAGCTATCTAATGCATGCTTCAAAGTGAAAAAATACAACCTAAATCTTCCTGTGTGTTTTTGTTTGCTTTTTAGAATACTATGTCTGTATTAAAAACAGATCAGTATTTAGACTATTTCTCCTACCCCTTCTCCCCCCCCCCGTACACCTTGGAGAACATCATGAAGAACCTGTTCCTTTGCAGCAATGCAATTATTTGCTTGTAATTTTAGAGTTACTGTGTTTTGAGAAACAAACATTGTGAAACAACCATCAACAGATAGCCAATGGCTGTAAGCTTGCCACCTTTCTGTAAATGTCAGGGAACGGATAGCTTAACAATATGTATGGTAAGAAGTCAATTAATTCAGGTGACCTTTGTAAATGGTGACAATAAAGCAGCTCTGACAATATGCCACAGCATTCGATATTCCCTCTGGAAAATGAATGAGCTTAAGAAGAGGTTTCCTTTTCAGAGTACAAAATGAAAGGTATTGAAGCATTAGCTCCTGCTATTGGCAAGCTTGCTTCCTCCGTTTCAGATGGTCTATGAAATCTGGTTAAAGCAAGCTGGTTTATTTTATTATGTGAACCACAATCTCTCGTTCAATTAACTAAATATCCTGTTTTCACCCACCCTGCATGTGCATTTTAGTTGTTAAAACAAGAATTTCATGCTACTGGTTTGGATTTTTACAGAATGTGCTATACTATAAGGGGAGAAAACCTGATTCTGATCTCCTCACGCTATATGCAAAGGACTACTCAGATGAAACTTTTTCTATTATATACCATGGTACACGCTCAGCTTTTCTGAATCGTTACCCTTACTCGTTTTTAATGTGAAAATTAAGTAAATATGAGTAACTTTACATTAATGTATATTGGGTTTTGCCACATATACTCCAATGCGCTACTTTAAAATATTATATAAATATGCCAAAGAGTTTCAGAAAAATTTGGTCGTTTCAGTCATACATGTACAGAGAAAATATGCTGTAGATGCATCGCCTGAGTACACGGCATAGACATTTTTAACCAGCAAACCAGTCAAAACGTATGGTGACTGTATTTTGGTTAATACTCTCTCAAAGCTCCTGCAATAATGTTGTAGTGTCAGACAATGACTGGCTGATGTTGTTATAGCAACCCGAAGTACCGCCTTTCAGGGTGGTAGGTCTGAGCATGACATCACAGCATGCCTGTTTGGAGTACCCAGAAGTAGGTGAGTATTCCTTTTCTGCACCAGAGTTACACCAGATCAACTAGGCAACGTTGCTACCTGTAATGCAGATCAAAAATATCATGTATAATCTTTATTAACTGATCAAGAATGAGCAGCTTATGAAAATACTCGTGTCCTGCAAATCACTTGTGATCACTTGTCCCTTGACACTAGAGGACAGAATTAAGTCTTTGCAAGTGAGAGCAAATCATTTAGCAGTATTGGACCCGCTTTCTTTGACTCTTACCCCTAACCTTTATTATATCAATAATGATTCTACAAGCCAACCAAAAGCTTTGCTGTTTGGTGACAACTGCTCTAACTTTAAATGGCTGGTGTTCAACAGCCAAATTTTAGAGCATCTAAAGCAATAGAAGAAGATAAGCAGTAGAAAACAAAGAGCTTTTCAAGACAAGCTCTATCTTACTTCTGAAATAAAAGTCACCACAGAGAAACAATTAAACCTTTTCTGAACTATAGGTATATGTTTTTAGTGAGTTATGGTACATCAACATTTTAGTTAATTCATGTATCCTTCCTTCAGATAGTACCATTAAAAGCTGAAGGAAAACTCTTGAGAGAGACATTGTCAGAAACTACCTTAGTAAACCCTTCCACTTTAAATTCCACAAACTCTACTTAATATCAACTCGCAAAAACTGACAATGAAAAACTAATTTCACATGTAGTGCTCAAGGAACCATTTTCTGAAGACCAAAAAATGGACAGCTTCTAAAACACATTTGTTTTTTTTTTTAACAGAATAAGTCTTCAAGCCCTCCTACTACTTCAAAAAGAATATTAATTCTCATTCTAACAATACAACAAGCAATTAAAATCCTCTACTTTATTGAAGGGAAAATGCCAGTACAATTTGAGAAGAAACAGTAGTGACAGATGTCATTAGACAGGTCATTAAACACATTAGTATTAAGAGGAAAATCAATACTTCTCATTACAACTGTAATGTAACTGTAAAAATGAATTACTGTGCCTTTTACTTATTCAACTGACCAGTCCACAAACTGTTAAATGCCGTTAATGTGAAACGACATTGTTCGTAAAGAACCTTCCTTAATATCCTTAATGCCAAAAACTTTATTTAAACAAACAGTATGATCTTCAGTGTTATACACAAAATCTATAAATGATGTCATTAATGTTTCCATAATAAATTCATATCCTCAGCTGACCTGAACCAATAAAGTTTTATTAGCACAGCACATGGAGCTACACTCATCTGTGCCAGAGGAATATCCAATATGGATGTCGGTCAGATTATTCCACTTTGGGTTCTTTGTGGAGTAGCTGAGTGTGCCACCTGGTGAGAAAGAGCATTTTCATGGGGGCGAAATACAAACTACTTTCACAATTTTGCTTGATCCAATTACCATCTCCTGACAGGATTTCCTATTCTTTATACATGGAAGATGGGGCTATATAATAAATCAACCATAATAAAAAGAATAGCAAAGAAATAAAAAAAGATAGTCAACATGTGCACATTTTCTTCTCCCAATATTTAAAGACATGTTCTAGTCATACAAGCCAAAGGACATATCATTTGATAAATAAGATTATATTTATCATGCTCATTTACTTCTATTTTATGATTTCTTAGCTTTAATTTACAAACTGCTTGGAAGAACAAGCTACAGATGTGCTCTCACCCCTAGCATTCCCAAACCTGCATTTGTGCATGCAAAGCACAAACAAATGCAAAGACATTAAAATGAAGGGAAAGTTTAATTTCATAAAAACAAATTTATACAGCGTATCCTTGAAACAATTATCCTTCATTTAGAAATATTTCTTCTTCACAAAAGATTTATCTCAATAAAACTCACTCTCTTTCAGCCTAACTATTTGCTGTAACTGCTTGGCCACAAGCAGTAACACTCTAATTCAAGGGAATATAAGAAATAAGATCTCTGTATTCCCATTATTTCTATTCAGCTGCTGTATTTCTGGAATTCATTAAAATATCTGCCCCAAATTTAATGGTAGCTTAACTCTACTGACCTCTGAATTAGAGCAGAAAAGAATTTTTGCCTCTCTTCTGCTCTCAACTCCCACGATCTCAGTCAAACTGGGAAATGCTTTTTGACAACATTGGCACAAAAGAAATCATTTAGCAGTTCCCTTTCCTGCATAAGCATCTGTATTTAGAGGTAAACACTGCAAAGCTGAGTAAAATACTACAGGGAATATTTTTTCAAAATATCTACTGATTATTAGTATTACCCCAAGAATCTTTTACTAGAGGGTTCCTGTCATGCAAATAACAACTACTCTGCCAGGAAATACTTTAAAGACTCTAAATCATTTGGTATAAGAAAGTTAAAATCTTAAGTTTAGCTGTACCAAAAATTCCCTGGACATCCAGCTACCAGTATGGAAAAAAAAAAAGAAAGAAAAAAAGAAAAAAAAAGAAAAAAAAAGATTGTTTATGCAATTCTCTGTCTAGGGATCAGACAATTTCAGAAATTGCATGTTGAATAAATTACAGAATAATAAACTGGAACAGACATCAGGTAATAGAATACACAATGAAGAGCAAAGTTGTGCACGGAGACATTTTTAAAATCACCATAGAATAGCCACCATCCCGGATGAGAGAAGGTGACTTTCCTAATAGTCTTTACAAAGGCAGTGTGATGGTCAGACATTACTAGGGCTCTTCTAGTGTGGTCTTGAGAGGTTAGAGGAAACCA